ATATATATATATATATATATATATATATATATATATAATAGAAATAAGCTATATAATTGTATGCCAAATTGGACCTATACTTGGGCTTTATTTTATATAAGTATAAATATATACAAATTCTGCAGTGTGTTGAAAATTATACTTTTATTAAATAGTCAGTCATTAAGGAATAATTACTTAAGGAATATTCCATAATTTTTTTAAAACTTTATATTACATGTATATTGGGTCTGAACATGAAAAGAGAAGGCTGTATTCTAATGGGACGAAAATCAGTAGTTGTGTTGCCCATGCAGTTTTATTGAAACTATAATAGCACTATAAGAATTGTATTTTTTTTTAATTCAGGAAATACAGTTTCAAAAAGAAAAAAAAATATATCAACTACGCTTTGCCTCATCCATGGTTGAAGTACAAGCTATAATTCGACTGGACATTGACACGTAAAGAGAAAATCTCCCGCTGCAGAATGGATTACCATACACGTTCAAATTGCTGAATTAGGTATTTGTTCATCATAGCTCAAACATGATTTATTGTGGAGAGATCTGGGGATCACTTCGGTTTGGGAAGTGGTGAAGAATCACAACGACAAGGAAATAAGGATACGTTGTGATTGGACACGTTTTATTATGGTTAAATGCTAATGTAGTAACATTTCTTCCAGCAAGTAGTAACCAACAAAGGGCAAGAATAAAGCGTCTTGCGATTGGCCATAATAGAGATTCATTTTCGTTCTATTCGTAACATTTATCCGGAGGTTCATGAAAAAAAAGTAAATCCCTAAAGGGACTATATTCTTCATGATATTTACCCAGTATAAGAGTGTCATGAAAGACAACCAAAAAAGATCTGGTTTTCAAGTGAAAGTGCATCCCATGCCATGACGCCTGATTTTAGGGTTGTATGCAAATGCATTCAAGTGTGTAACTAATGGCTCTCCTGGAATTCTCCTAACATGTTTTCTCTAGTTCACCCGAAAACGCATAAATCAATTCTACTGCAGCTTGTACACGTGAAAAATGCCTGCAACCATTGTAATTGTTGTATACAATGATGGAAAGCCGCAGGAGTTCAACGTTCATTCCCTGAGTCACCAATTGATAGACATCCCCGTAATGTTAACTATGCTTTCCTGCTTCATCGTTCGTCGTTCTCGGCAGACTATCACTTATTTGATGCATCTTAAGGCCTTGCTAACTTAGTCCAGTTGTAGCATTTCTCTCCCCCCTCCCCCAAATATCGAGTTATCAGAGGTTATGTTCACCCTTCTTCCTTTAGTCCTGTGTTCTTCAAACTTTATTGATTAATTAAACTTTTTAAACTCTAAGATGCTCCCAGAGAGAACTATGTGTTTGCAATTTTCTACAAAAACTATCTAATACGTGATATATTGAAGTTATCAGCAGTCGCATTTCGTATTCTGTTGTAATCTTTTTCTGTATATTTAGTTTTTGTTGCCTCATACGTTGTGGAATGTTTTTAACTTAAATACATTGTCCAAAATAAGATTAAAATTTTTATAACTATGTGAGATACTTCTGCATATTCTGCAAATGTTTAACCTGAAATTCAGAAGTTGAGTTTCGGCTGAAATTTAGACCTTAAAATGGAACTTGTAGCTATGTTGCCAAATTGTTTCTTCCCTTTCATTGGCAAGCTTTCTGTTTTATCTGTACATGTTTGAAGCACGTGAAGTTTACGAAATTTAAGATTTTACTTTATCTAGAAAATATATGTTTATATTTGTTTTTACAAGCAAACTACCTTTAGGAATTTGAACTTTTAAAAAATTAAAATTTTACTAATATTTTTGCGCTGTGATAAAGCGAATATAAATCACATGCAAAACAGATCAATGGTTTCATGGAGCCCAAGTTGTAGCAATCTCTTTTAGACCAAATCTACGTCTTCAACATCTATACATACTTCCTACGTTGTATAGAAGAACTTTATGTATGTAACAAGCAAACACATACAAGTTATGCTTTAGTTGTGCAATGTCCTTTTTTTATACGCTACAATTTTTCTCCATTATAAATGCTTTGAAGTTTTTGCTGGTCAGTCACTGAACATCAAAAGTGAATCACGTTCAAATTCTATTTCATTTTATATATGCATACAAAACGTTCTCTTATTTAGAAAACTCCTTGATGTGTAGATTGTCACGTTATAGAATGAATAATATGGTTCTTGGAATCTGAGGAGTTTTTAGATTTACTTGATTTATCTTTAAACATGTTATGGATTTGATTTTGGATATATGTATTGATAAACATTTTGCTTTCTTCAGAATTAATATATTTTATATTTCTAAAATCAAGGCATAAGATTCTGGTGTGAGTCAACCCACTGCAACGTAATCACACATTGCTTACTATAATTTAAAGAGACTGTGGCTTTAAAAAAGCAAGATAAATAGAAGCTGAACAAAATAGATTCCCACTTTGCTCCAGCATTATGTTTGTAGTTCGGTTTTAAGCTCCAAAAATGGCGCTGTAATCCCCGATGATAATCCGATTAGCTAACCACATTTGAAAACTCAAGGAAAAGGAAGCAGAGAAATGGGCAGAATAAATCATTGGTTTTGTGTCAGATTCACAGTTATTATTGTGGTTTAAATATTTTAAAACCAGTTTTCATGCTCAGCATCTAATGATGATTACTCGTACGATTTATAACATGTAGTGTAGAGCGAAGATAAAGGCAAATATTAGTTTCAATTTATTTTATAACGTGTTTCAATTTAACTCTTAACCCATTTCTGAAGTGAATATTAGAAGGAAAAACGTAATTGTTCCAAAACATAAAAAAAAATACTTATTAATAAAAAATAATAATAATAAACGTTCTTATTGCATTTTCATTTTATTTCTACACATGAACTGTAGATTATATTAAAACATCCGAAAAATTTTGGAATCAATTTCTATAAGCATATTTTTTGCACGTATTTAATAAGCTGAAATACTTGAATATATTTGATCCTGTTATTATAAATAGAAATTATATAGTAGTAAGCCACCTAGCCAGAATGACGGATATGACTCTCAGCTTCTAACCGAGTGGGTTCGGGTTCGAATCCCGAGTAAGGCATGGCTGTATGTTCTTCTGGGAATAAGTTGAATGTTCACCTGTAATGAATTCCCGTCTCAAATGGAAAGCAGTGCACCCCTTCTGCTATATGCTGAGATAATCATTTGTAATAGAAAATTTCTATATTCTTCTGTTTGTATTGAACGTTTCTCTTCTTCCACTATTACTTCATGTATATATATTAGGATAAAACACACGACAACAACAACACATAGAAGTAAGTAGTGAGGGGTGAATTTGTGAAAGCAAATGTTATCTTTGAAATAAATTAAAATTAATATTATCAAAAAAAAAAAAGAATTGTAAAATAATTTCATTAGTAAAAATAACATTAATATGTTGCCAGGAAAATATTTTTGAAAATATTAAACTTCTGAAAGTAGATTTAATTTGAAATATGTTATCAATTCATACTCCTTAAAAATAAGAACGCAAAGTTAAACATCCGGAACATTAATAATTAATATGCATGCGCTCAAATTTTCTAAGAATAAATTTGCCTTTTCACAAAAGTTTCCTTAAATAACTCTTCCAATAAGTTGATAAACATACCTAGAATTTAATTAATGTATTTTTGAATTTTTGTAACACGACATTAATCAGAAATTTTTAATGAATTTAAAATCTTTTCTGCGAAATAATGGATTTTAATTAGTTCGTTAAATTATTCTTACAGTTTTATTCACATTTAAAAGTAACTTTTAAAAGTTTATTTAGAATTAATTGAGACTATATTAAATATCAAAAATTTCATCAATATACAAATTAAAAGAGAAGTACATTAATAAAATAATTTAATTTATCTCTTTTAAAATTTTAAATATGAGATATAAAATATTTCTTCAATAAGAAAGGCATATAAAAGAAATAATTATTTCAGACCCAAATAAAATTTTTAAACTTTGTAATATATTCACTTTTTTCAGTAAGTACTGGAAATAAAATAACTTTAACTACTTGTTTAACTATTTGCTTACAATAATCAAAATTATAGTGAAATGTATTTATGATTAATAAAAATTAACTCAAATGCTATTAAATTCTTAAAATAAAAATTATTGCTCCATTTTGAAGCCGTTTTTTGGAATTAATGGCAAATTTTGTTAAAGGAAAATATAGACGTTTCAGTTCTTAGAACATATTTGAAACGAATTTTCTTACTTATTACACACTCATCTTGTACTTTTATATAATTATAGTACATTTAAATCTTGGTATCCATGGCTTTTTCTTGAAGTTTTGATATTATACAAATGTAAAAGATATTTAAAATGATACTTCTGTTAAAAACTACATAGCTAAAGATTCAGTAATAAAATACTATGCATTCGCATTGTTGTTAAAATTTAGAGAATTATATACAAATATATAAATTTTTTTTCTATATTTTAATTGTTATTTTTATAAAAAAAATAGTAATAGTCTTGTTTTAATTTAATTCAGCCGCCCATCTGGTAAAGTTTTTAGCTACGCTGACTGATGTGCCGTAGGGCATGGGTTGGAATCTCGCAGAAGGCACAGATGTTTATAAATGTACCAAATACTGATTAAAAATTGCGCGATTTGCTCCCTAATGTCACCGTTTTACTTGTAGGCTAGCATGTGTGTAGCATTAGTGGGGGGGGGGGGAAGTAGAAAAGGAACATATAAGCAAATCCTCTGAAATAAGTAAAGTAAATCTTTTGCAGACACTGTCCAGGTCCTTTTATTGCATTCCAAAGCCTTCTGAATAATTGTATAGATAACAGCGCCCAGAAAAGATTATATTTTGGGTGGACCTATATATACGTCCGGGGCAATTAACGCGTTGGCTGAGCGAGACGTTTATATACATCAGTGACACTTAAAAAGTCGTATTGTAGCTTTAATTTCAAAGTATAGTATTATTGAATTCAATACAGTGTTATTGTATGGGGGAGGCGCGATGAAAATTATGATTGTAAATTGGGTCGCAAATATTCAAAGTTTGAGAAGCACTGGTATTTCATACACTTGACAGATGTATAACACTCACAACAACTCACTGTCGCCAGTGGTTAGCTTGGAATAAAAAGGATGCAATGTGTGGATATCGTCACATTGGGCGTGTATGATGCTTTCCGACGAGTCCAGGTTTAGCTTTATGTCTGATCCACTCTGGACATTCCTATGGAGAACGTCAGATACCCCTTACTACCAAGATAACATCATTTAATGGCACTGTTATGGTGGTCCAGTATTGCTTGTTTTGGAGGAATTATACTGAGCTACAGAACAGATCTATTTGCATGTTCAAATCAGAACTATGATGAAAAAGAATATTCTAAAACAACATTTACGTTTGCTTAGGGGTGTTATGAGGACAGAAATTTTGTTTATGGTTGAAAACGCTAGTTCTCACCGAACTCACATCGTAAATGAATGCCTTTAATCTGTAGATTTCACCCATATGGAATGATCAGCATTCTCATCTGATTTAAATTCGACAGAGCATGTGTGGGATATGCTTTAGTAACGAAATGCGGCCTATCACACACCCACACACAACCACCTCCTACATGAGAACCAGAACTTAGGAGAACATTGTTTGCTAGAAAGTAATATCCCTCAAGACCAGGGTGAAAATTTAATACTCAGTATACCTATGCATTGTACGCACTGTATTCCATCGCATGAAAGATATGCGATGTCTTAACCATCATGCCAACCATATAATATTGAGTTTTCGTAAAGGTGCTATTCCTTTGTAATTTCTCCTAGGGGCAAAAATCATTGTTTTTGCGCATGTTATCATACTTACATTAGCTCTTCTGTTATTTATCTGTTGTTTAATAGACTTTATATGAACATTTCACACGTTTGTTTTTTTTTTCGAAGTTTTATTTGCAAAAGCTGGTGTTATACTTAATTTATGGACATGAGTGCAAATAGTTTCATCTGGCTTGAAGTTAAAATTTTAATCAGGGTACAATCTATTACTGATTTCTTTTTTTTTTAATTCCTACCTTGAAAAGTTGGAATATTTAAGAAATCAATATGATTGAATTAAAAATACTTTCCATTTTCAGCTGGATAAAAAATATTTAGGAGTTAAAGTGATACATAAATATTACAAAGCATATTACAAACAAACAAAAATGTTTTTACTTGAACAATGCACATCAGTATGTATGAATTCTAAATTGAACATGGTTCCTTTAACAAATCACTTTGTGCGAGCACATTATCTAGAGTTTTGATAACATCAATCAAAACCAAGTAATGGTATTATTTAAACTTTTTTAAACAGAACACACACATGAGCACTGCATATTTTTTTTTCATTTTAATAATGCTGGAATACGAAGATTTAACGATTCTGTATTCCGTAATACTGGAATGGCTTACGACATTCATTCTCCAACAGAAAATTTTTCTACCTCTCTTTTTTACTCCAATAACTTCCATTCCAATTTTGAACAATGGAATTTAATCATTGCGCAAAGTATTCCCTTTTCCATATTATGTAATTTTCATATTCTATTTACTGCGCAAAAGCTATTTATTTTTTGAGTGCAATTATTTGATTCAATAATTACTTATGCAAAATACATATTTTTTCGATTTAAATTGATTTATGCCATAATTTTGTTTTGTGTATCAAACTACACAAATACATATAACAATTTTAAAGATAAAAAAATCATATTTGTGATTACTTTCTGAAATATTTTTTATCTGATATTTTTAAAGAAATTCTAAAAATATATCTTTCATGGAAATTATACGAATAAAAATATAAGATATCAATAGTTTAAAAGTTAATAAATTTTATGAAATTTTAATATAAAAACAAACAAACATGGGAGTTGCTTAGTTAAAAGCGGAATGACCCTTGAATAGAACACACAGTTTCTTAAGGTATACATTTTATTAGAGACAGACGAGTATTACAAAACCATTCTTACCTACAATTTTTAAATTAAATATCTCATATTGCACATAATAAACTTTTTACTAAGCATTTTTTAATCAAAGTATCTCCGTTTCAAACCATTTTGAATAAACAGAAAAAAAAATTAACTATTCAATTTATTTATAATTTTGCAAGAAATCTCTCTTAAGAAAACGTTTATACGCCATTTATATTTGTATATTTATTTATCACTAGCTATTTCATAGCTGCAATTTTGGTTTAAATACAATTTAATTACAAAAATATCTCTTTCAAAATTCTAAGTTTTTTCAACTGCTAAGCTGGGTTTTAATTATTAAAAAAGTTATAAGACATGAATTAAAGAATTGAAAAAGATGTGAAAATACTAAATGAAAAACAATAATAATAGTGCTAAATGAAAAGTAACAAATAATTTAATGAATCAATGTTTGAAGAAATTAAAACATTTAAATTGATTTTAAGTAATAAGATGTAATAATGAACTTTATAAATATAAATAGCAAACAAAATAACAAAAAAATGTTAAAAATGAAGAGTATGAGAAAGAAGAAAATATAAAAATTGAAACTCGAGTTTCACAAATCATTATTGATTTTAATAAAGATCAAGAAAATAGAGTGATTATTAAAAAAATATTAATTAATCCAACTTCTTACGTTCAATGTCGAAAAAAATTGTAAAAAGGGTAAGAAACACGAAATAATTCAGAATTATCTACAATGTAGAAGAAGAGAAAAATATTGTAAGCATTAAAATGCTCTGAGAAATGACAGCAAACAATATTTCTTCTCTCATTTAAATGCATTAAATTATGTGGTTGCTTCATATACCACCTGATCGACAGTAACATCAGATTAAAACCAAATATATTCATCGCGGCAAGGAGCTAGATTTTTACGCTTGTCATTATCCGTAGCTTTGAGCACCATGCAGTTCGATTTTGCTCGCTTCCAACCCAATTTTGAGGGAGGACACCCTTACGATGGTCAAGGGCTCTCTACCTCTCTTCCCCTTCCACCCATGCCACAAACAAAAGGCATGGGGAATTAATTATAAACCGTACAAATTATCAAGAAAAGTGTTA